ATTTATTTATTTAAAAAAAATTTTTTTTAAGATTTTATTTGTCAGAGAGAGAGAGCACAAGCAGGGGAAGCAGCAGGCAGAGGGTGAAGCAGGCTCCCCGCTGAGCAAGGAGCCCAATGTGGGGCTCCATCCCAGGACCCTGGGATCATGACCTGAGCCTAAGGCAGATGCTTAACCGACTGAGGCACCCAGGCATCCCCAGAATGGTCTTTTATTTTTATTTTTTTAAAGATTTTATTTATTTATTTGAGAGAGAATGAGAGACAGAGAGCACGAGAGGGAAGAGGGTCAGAGGGAGAAGCAGACCCCCTGCCGAGCAGGGAGCCCGATGCGGGACTCGATCCCAGGACTCCAGGATCATGACCTGAGCTGAAGGCAGTTGCCCAACCAACTGAGCCACCCAGGCGCCCCCCCAGAATGGTCTTTTAAAAATGTAATTCATATCCACAGATTTTTTGCTCAAAACTTGCCAATGACTTTCCATTATGTTAGAACAAAATTCACAGTTCTTCCAATGGCCTACAAGGATCAAAGAGAAACAAACTGGCCTACAGGCCGTATCTGGCACACTGTGTGTTTTTGTAACACCCATCAACTAAGAATGGTTTTTACCTTTCTAAATGTTTGAAAACATATCAAAAGAATAATTTTTCTCGACATGTGAAAATGGTATGAAATACAAATCTCAGTGTCCATAAATAAAGTTTTATTGGGACACAGCCATGTCCATCATTTGTTTACAAGTTGTCTACTTTCCTGCTACAGTGGCAGAGCTGACTCATCCTGAAAGAAACTCTGTGGTCCACAAGCTCTCAAATATTTACCTTTATAGACAAAGTTTGCTGCTGTATAGTCTAGATGATCCAGTCTCTGGCTGGTTACTTCTCTAATCTCATGTCCTAATGCTCAGGTGTTTGTTTTTCAAGTCCACAATTTCTTTCTTTTTTTTTTAAGATTTTATTTATTCATTTGAGAGAGAAAGAGAGAGAGAGCATGAGCAGGGTGGAGGAGCAAGGGGAGAGGGAGAAGCAGGTTCCCCGCTGAGCAGGGAGCCCAAAGAAGTGCTCCATCCAGGACGCTGGGATCATGACCTGAGCTGAAGGCAGATCCTTAACCAACTGAGCCACCCAGGTACCCCTCAAGTCCACAATTTCTTATCCCCAATTCTGAAATCCAGAAAGCCCTGAAACCAAGATTTTTCTCAAGTGTTTTGGCACAAACACAATTGGTGCAAAACCTGACCTGAACTGATGTGAGGCTGTTTATAATCTACTCCACATGGTGTGAATATTCACGTGCCTTCTTGTAGAATTCTTAACATGTGTGCTTTCAGGGTACTTCCTGAGAAGTTTTTGGGGTTTTTCATCATATACAGTATATGTACTGTATTACCTTTCTAAAATCCCAAAAGTTCTGGAACACAGCTGGCCCCAAGAGGATCGGACTGTGGGCCAGTATCAGGAGTGAGCCTGGGACTTTGAACCGGAAGAGGTGGGGCCGAGAACCTCTTGGTGAGGTTCCATGGAAAGGAGGCTGCCAGATCTCTGGATTTTAATTCGCTGAGCTATTGCTGTACCTTGGCTTTCTGTAGCACCCTTCCTTGGTTGGAGGTTACGATGGATGGGCTTCTCTTCCTCAGCTCAGAAATACAGTTGACAGGGAGAGGTTGCTCTGGGGCATTGTTCTGGGGTTTATTTGCAGTTTCCTGTTGATGAGGAGAAATAGTTACATAGGTGAGGCCTAATGATGGCTACCCACACTGGCTTGCCCTCCAAAGCATGCAAATAGAAGGCGCTGTGCACACATGCCAGCACCAAACAGGGCGAGGGAAGGAAGACCACTTGAGGGCCTTGGAATAAAAGTAATGACGTCTAAAATTACTGACCCCTCATATGCACCAGGCTTTGTGTGGATTAGCTCATTTAGCCTTTCCAAGCCTCTGAAGTAGGTACCATTATTAAGCATCCTATTTTGCAGGTAAGGAAAATGGGAAGGTCAAGTCACTGCTCAAGGTCACACAGCTGGTGAGTGGGAGAGCCGGGATTCAAACCCCACCGCCCTCTCTCTTCACCTTCCCCTGTATTCCTTCTCTTCTGTAGTGCCTTCACCCCTTAACTTTTCCAGATAATTGCTTAGTACGTTACTGGATGTAGTTCCTTAAGTGTGGCATATTAACGGCTAAGCCTGCAGGGAATTTAGAGAAGACTTCTCTTTATCTCCAAAGGCCAGCAAAAAGGATCACAAGTAGTGGGAAAAGCCATCTGGAATGTGAATTTCAGGGCACACTGGTGAGGAAGCAGCTGGGATGAGTGAACCACTTCTAGCTCCTCCTCCAGCCCTCTGTGGGTTTGCCTTTGTCCTTTAAGCTCTTCATCTGTAACTGAGGTTGGAAAGCCCCATGGAGAAGAAGCAGGGGGGCAGAAGGAACGGCCTAGCTTCGGAGACATCGGGTGTGGTCTGACCAGGCAATGAGGCCTCGGACAACAACAGTAAGAATGCAGTTCCCAGTGACAACTCAAATCTATCAGACAAGTTATTTCATCTCTCTGAGTCTCCATGTCCTTGTCTGAAAGCAGGCATAACTTTTATTCATTCAACAAACATTTGTTGCACTCCTAATCTGCAGACTCTGTAAAAGGCTAAGGCTATAATGATAAAACAGACATAGTCCAATTTTTAATAAAAATACAATCCAGTGGGGGAGACAGACATTAGACAAGTAAGGACACATAAATACACACACATACACACACACGTATATCCATATACACACGTTTACATAAATTGTGGCTAAGTGCTATGAGAAAGAATAACACATGGGACTCTTGGTAATTTAGACCAGTGGTTCCCAAATGGGGGTGATTTTGCCCTTCCAGGGGACGTTTGGCAATTTCTGGAGACATTGCTAGTTGTCAGCTGGGTGTGGAGCTACAGACATCTAGCAGGTAGAGGCCCGGAATGCTGCTAAACATCCGACAATGCACACGGCAGTCCCCTATAAAAAGAATTATTGGCCCCAAATGTCAGTAGTGCTGAGGTTGAGACACTCAGATGGAGACGGAGGTCAGCCAAGTTCTCCCTGGGCGGTTCTCAGTCGGGGTGAGAGTATCTACCTTGCAGGGTTGCTTGGAGCACTGGAGATGATGGATCTGCAAAGCCCAGAGGATGGCCTGGTACACCGGGGGCCCTAAGACAGGGCATGTGTACCATGGCTAACACCAGGCTCTGGAGTCAGACTTCCTGGATTGCGGATCCTGCCTCCTACTTAACTGAATGACCTTGAGTAAGTCCTTCAACATCTCTACCTCCGTTTCCTTGTACGTCCAGTGGTGCCAATACACCTAGCTCTACCTCCCAGGACTACCGTGAAGATCATATGAGATAACAGAAGTTAAAATGCTGTACTGACCTATGGTTACTGTTCAACACACAATTGTTATTCTTACTCAACATATCATAGTTATACTTATCAGTAACCCAAAGGCTACTTCTCGGATCACATTCAGGATAAAACGGCAGGGCTGCGGGGGGAGACAACACAGGCGGAACCTGCTCTGAGAGTCCCCTCCCTAGCAGTGCCACCTGCTCTTTGGGAGGCTCTCTTTTGGCATGTTCCCGCTTCTCTTTGGGTGTTCGCCTGCTCATCTGTTAATAAGTATAATCCCTACCCCCAAAGAGTGATCATGAAGATCTATAGCTTGTGAGGGGATTAAGAAGCAGCTGCCTCTGGCCCAGAAGGGCATGGACTCACCCCACTCTTGTTCTTGCTGCCCACGGAGAGCCCCAGGGCTGGGCCCCCTGCCAGGGATCTCTGCAAGCGCTCCTTCACAGCCACCAGTCGCAGCTCCAGGTCGATCCGGCGCTCCTCCTTTGCCCGACACTGAGCTTCCAGGGCAGCCACGGCCTCCTCCAGAACCTTTAACTTTGCTCCTGTGTGTCCAGAGACATGTGTGAGAAACAGCCGAGCCTGGCCTGAAGCCTCAGGGAATTTGGCAGGACCTCAGGTTCTAGTCTGTCCCTCCCAGAGGGTTTTTCCAGCCCTTAGTTCCTACTCAGAGATGGGCTCTGGGCCTGGGGTTCCAGCTCCATGCTGGGTTGTATAGTTTTTTACCTGCTCTGTACCTATTTCCCCACCTTCTGGATATAGAACCTTGATTTTCCCCTGGGAAACCACATTCTCCTCCCATTCCCTCTAGTTTGGATGGAGCTGACCTCACTTTTAGTTCAAGGGGTTGGCATATAACTTGGACCTGGTCCATAACCTATCTCCATCTTCTGGTCACAGTGGTTGGTTTAGAGATCAAAGTTGGTCCAATCAGAGTGAATCCTGAGGCTTTTGTGGGGTCCATTGGGAAGAGAAGTTTTCTCTCCTGGGGCAGCTGAGAGGATTGGGTGAGGGCTAGAGCTGTGTAGCCATTATGCCACCACGAGGGGCACAGAATGAAGCCAACGGAGGAAGGCAGAAGCCAGAATTAGAGAAATATACTTTCTGGTGATACATTTAAATCCCTGGAACTTGCTATATCTGATTGCTCAGTTTTCCAATTAAATTTTTTTTTCTTTTTCTTTTTTTAAAATAAGGTCTAAGCCCAATAGAGGGTTTGAACTCATGACCCTGAGGTCAAGAGTTGTATGCTCTACCAACTGAGCAAGCCAGGTATCCCTACATTTTTCTTTTCTTTTTTTTTTAATGCTTTTTTTTGGAATTTCTTTTTTTTTTTTTAAAGATTTATTTATTTGAGAGAGAGAGAGCACAGGGGAAGGGGCAAAGGGAGAGGGAGAGAAGCAGACTCCCCACTGTGCACGAAGCCCAGTGCTAGGCTGGGCTCTGGGCTCAATCTCATGCCCTTGAAATCAGGACCTGAGCTGAAATCAAGAGTACAACACTCAACTGGCTGAGCCACCCAGGTGTCCGTCTTTTCATTTCTAAGCCAGTTTCACTTTGGTTTCTCTTAATTGTAACTGAGTTATAATCCCCTACTGGGATTTTGCTGCTTTTTAATCTAAACTAACAAACCTGTATTAGTATCTTTTCATGCCAAGAGTTGTGTTAGGTCTTACCAGGTTTAAAAGTTAGTTTCATTCATTCATTCACTCATTCATTCTATTCAGTAAATACTTATTGGGTGCTTAGTGCTTACTTTGTACCAGGTGCTGTTACAAAACAGGCCAAGACACTAAATTCATATCTTTCGGTGGTTACCCTGAATGTAAATGGGCTAAATGCCCCAATCAAAAGACA